TTGTGCAACACACAGCCAATGCCAGTGGCCTCAGTAAAACCATGATACTGAGTTTCAGTAAGTCCAGTACATGTGAATGCAGGAACCATTCTGCAAATATATATTTTCTTAGTATCACTCACCTGAGCATACAGATTTATTACAAGAAACAAAACATGGGAGAACAGAATGGAAAGCCATAATTTACATAATCGAAGAGGATATATTTGTACATGTAAACTCATCATATATATATGTGACAAACTTTCCTGGGATATTTTTCTTCGATAATGCTTACCTGCAAAGTAGGTCATGTACATATTATACTCATCTAACATTGGCGTAGTACTTTGCAGGGTGTCCCAAAACTCCAAAACTGAGCCAAGTAACTGAGTCATTACACACAGGGAACTTCAATCTTACAAACGTGCCCTTGACTTGAAAAAGTAGCTGAAGCCCATGTGTAATCTTCACCACAAAATTCACACAATGGATTTGTGATGAAGTATTTACACAGTGCTTGCAAAGATGACTTCGTGCACACATAGCATCCATCATCCAATGTAGAATCCACATAGATCTGTCTTTTTCTAGTTTGTCGTCGGTCACGCACTTCAACAGAACTAGATGATGGCTGAACGGATTGAGAGAGAGCAGTTCTCGGCCCGTCGAGTACATCAATCTTGGTGATGGATGAAGAGCTACTTTCCACAGTTGATGAACAAATCATTTCAAAATACGAGAGGAGTCTTTCCATTAAATCAGCATTTTGCGTGGTAGAAGACTTTCTATCTATACCAAGAGCCGATTTAGTGTTGCTTAGCCTCTGTTTGATAGCTTCCAAACGACTTCGCTGATCCTTTTTGACTTCAATTGTGAGACTGAAATGTGGGTTTCGTTCCGCTGGATCTCGCCGTGCATTTGCATGTTTGTTGATTTCTGTACGTTTCTTTTTATCTGGAGGGGGAAAGCTTTCCATTTTCCGAGTCGAATCGTAGAGTAACCTCAACAAAAGGTCTCACACTAACAGAAATTCTCAAAGTCAACTTCAAAGCGAAATGACGGTTATTTCCTTCGCGTAACTGCTCGATCCGGCCTCAAATATATCGCATATTGGCGCATAAATTCACTGGGACACTGCTTACCACTGCACCGGTAAAATGAAGACTCACAATCGACAAAGGTAGCCCCACAGTTAGCCTGTTGGGTAGGGGAGTCTCAAAATGGCGGGCTATTCGAATTCGACTGTAATAACGCAAGTTTTTTTACACGAAACGAGAACATATTGTACTCCAAACAAAACTACTCACAGTAAAATAACTCTACTGATATTTTTCGACCGTTTCTGGGTATGTTTTATTGCTTTTCACGTGTATAACAAATACTAAGTGTTCGTTGCGGTTCTCCTCATCGTCCGCCATCTTAATTTTTTTGGGTGAATTCAAAATTAGGGGGAGGAGCTAATGCCCTTTTATAGTGCGCCTTCGTGTTTAAGGCAGCTAAAGAGCTAGAAAACCTTGGTACATGGTGAAATTTTTGGCTCTTTGGGTGTAATATTCAAGGAGAAATAGTCCATCAAAAACTGCAAAATTTCTGGGTGGCAGAAGCACTAATGAGTTCATACATTTTATGTAAAATTTTGAGTTTTTAAACCCGTGTTGGCCAAAAAGTATTCAATACAACAGGCTCGTATTCATGGGCTGAGTTAATCGTACTTTGACCTTTCAATATTCAGATATGATTTATTTTTAGCTCCATCAGAAACTGAATTGCTTATGCTAATGAGGCAAATATTGTAAACAAGGATTCCCCTACAGAGTATACTTTGCATGCCAGTCTGCAAATTTGGTGTCTACTCCATCAATCTTTTCAAATGGATCCAGACCATCCCTGAGTGTCCACTTGACATTACATGCTCGCTCCTCAAAGAGCTGGTCTCCATGCAGTGGGTTACAAGCGAGAACTGTGAGGGTTGAATCTTTTTTAACGACTGGTACATACTTTTCTTGATTATATTGCAAAAGCCATGCCATGTCACCTGCAATATTTGGGTTAAATAATTCCATTCCCGGGCAACACTGCAATAATAACATTTATCCCATTCTCATCAGTGACAAAAGTATAAGCTCAAGAGCAAATAGACTCAATTGCCCCATTTTTTCTTTGGTGGAGTGGGGACAACTTGACACTTTTTAAGCTGCATGCAGATTCAACCAGCCATGCTAAAAGGAAGGAGCATCAGCTATGTTAATCACCTTGGACTTGCTAATTACAGTTGCATGTTTACTTTTTAACTATAACACTTAAGAAGGAGTACCATGCCAAAATTTTACAATAACTTATAATAATAATCATAAACACTTACTATAGTTGATCTCTGTGTCATTCCTTAGAATATGGGTGTGGGATGTGCCAAACCACTCTTTCTCTGAGGAAACTGAATGGCTTAAGGTACTTAGTAACAATTCAGCTTACAATAACAGCCCATCGACTCATGAGGTTTCTCTGCACAATACTAGAGACCTTAAGATCGAGGTTTGGCCATCTTACCGCGAACGGCAGACCGCAGTTTTCCGTTAGCGGTTTCACGTTAGCCGTCTGCCCATATTTGGGACTTACGATTCATGGGTTGATTCACTGAAGAATTATGGGGAATTAGTACAAAAACAAGATGGCTGCTGCCATAAGGTAAGATGTGGAATTTAATGTGTTTGTTGGAATTAATTGATTAATGGGAGTAGAACACTAAATCATCGGTCCTCTTTATATCAGGTAAGACAACAAAGATCTGCTAGACGTTATGCAGCTGGGTGATAACAGTTCTGAAGGCTTGTCTTCAAGCAATGAAGATATCGATTTATTATTTTTAGAGGCAGCTTTCCCAGAACCTCGATTGTTGGGCCCTCATCTGAACTTCACAGACCTAAGTGACAACGATTGTGAGCAGATATTTAGGTAATACTTTCTTTTGAGTTACTGACCGGCAAATTTTGTTGAGGCATAATTGGCAAAAATGCAGTCGAATTTTCACACAAAACACAAGGTCCAACTGACAAAATTTATCTTTCAAAGCAGAATTCTCTCCTTTCTCTTTCAAACTCTTTCCCCTCCACTTAGTAAGGTTATTTACTGTACGTTTAGAGGTACGACTTATGAGGCCTTACAACAACTCATGAGGACAATTCTGAGGCTCGCCTAAAGAAGTTAAATTTGATGTCATTAGAAAACAGATTTTTAGCTGACGTTACATTTTTATCGAAAGCCCTCAACGGCATCATTGACATTAATATTGACTCTTGTGTTGATTTTTATTCAGATGCTGACCGTTATTCATTTAGGAAATATGATAATTTATCTTTAAAGAAGAAATACGCAAGAACAAATCCTCTCAAATATAGTTTTTTCCACAGGATAGTTGATTCCTAGAATCTTTTACCCTTTGCTGCTCGTAGAGCAGCAAGTGTAAATATTTTTAAGGCAGGAGTTAAGAAGTACTTAGTGGATAATATATCTAATTAATAAGTCTGCGGAATTTTTATAATAATTATTTCTAGTTTAAAACTTATGTAATATTATTTGATTATTTAACTTTGGTGATCTGTTTTCATATGGGGTCCTGGACCCCTTTACGGAATATCCATATGGCATTTTCTTTTTTTTTTTCGCTTTTAGTTCAAAACTTTATTTGCTGTATCTGAGCCATTAAATTGTGATAAATAAATAAAGAAATAAACTAACAAGGTAGAGGACATTAAATGCACACACTTCTCACTACTTATCAAGACTTTTAAACTCCATTATTGTACATAAAGATGCAAGCTTAGGTAGTCTTTCCCATGTAAAATAAAGTGAAATGCACTCAATTGCTTGTCAGTCTCATGTAGTTCTAGTCTACTTCAGCGTACAAAATAATTTATATAGTACTGTAATGGCATTTTAGATTTCAAAAACAGGATATGTACTGGCTCCTGGAGGTGTTACAAATACCTGACTCCTATACAAGCCATCAAGGGTCTGTGTATACTGGCATGGAGACACTTATGATATTGCTGCGACGTCTTGTGTACCCAAATAGATGGTGTGATCTTGTCCAAAGTTTTGGCAGGGCTGAACCAGAGCTCAGCATGGCTTTTAATATGGTAATCACAAAGCACTTAAATTTTCACAAACTAAGGAGATGCATTACTTGTGCCTATAACATGCAGTAGTCAACAGCATTGTTAGCATTTTACAATTTATTTCAGATCGTTGATGATCTGTATACAAGGTTCAGTCCTTCACTGACTTCTCTGGATTTGGTATGGCTGAATCCAGCTCTATTTTCCGATGCAATACACAGAAAGGGTGCACCCCTTGACCAGGTTTGGGGTTTCATTGATGGTACTGCCCGCCCAATTGTAAGGCCCATCTGCCACCAAAGAATCATGTATAGTGGCCACAAGAGGGTACACTGTCTGAAATTCTAAGTATGTTACTGCTAAAACCATTTTGAATTTTAAGTCAACAAACACGTGTGGTGAAAGAAGACATACTTTTCCTACATATTCCGGCAGCCATTGCATTTATTTTCTTGGGTAACAGACTTTTTATTCTTTTTCTAGTCTATGATGGCACCTAATGCAATTATAGCCCATCTATTTAGTTGGCACTCTTTTAATTACCTGCCACACATGTATGTATGGCTTGCTCACTGGTACCTATTTTGATTTGGAGGCCCCATCGCTGGAAACATACCTATCAAACCTGTAAATCAATTTTATCGTGAAGAATCCTTTGTAAACATAAACATGCTCAAAATGGCAAAATTAAAGTTGAAGAGTACAGTATTTAAAATTTGCTATTTGTTGAGCAAGAACAGAAAATAGCTAAATAATCAACTTTGATTAATGGTTACTTTTTCCATAATTTTAACCTGCACATGACTTTACAGCATGTCAGATTAGTTCAACATCTTTCCCTTTAAGAACTGAAAACACAGTCTCTTTTCTTCTAGTTCTAGTTTCAGTCTCTCCTTTCCTTCAGCAGCCTCCTGTTCAAACTTTTTATTCCGCAGTTCCAGTTCCTCATACTTAAGTTTAAGGCCCTCCACAGACTAGACATTTAGTTGTCGACAACTATTTGTGATCAACAACTAAAAAACGCAGTCTGTGGCACAAGTTCTCGACAACTAAACCGCACATTATTAGTTGTCGACGGCCTCATTTTTTAGCGTTTTTCTAGTGTGTGAAAACTTTTGTTTTGGTTGTCGACTACTTTTAGATCTCCGCGCTATTGCGTCTGCGGCTTTCCAAGCTGGATTAAAACATGGAGGATTGCAGAAGTAAAATACTCGGTAAAGAAAACATTCCTTTTTATCTTTCTTCTCCACATCCTGTTCTTGGAGGTGGAAACGACACTAACAATGTCAATATTGCGGCAGCTTGTGCCCATCAAAAAGTTCTGGTGCAGGATATTTTATCCAAGACGATTGAACGGCAAATTTGGCGTAAAAGTTCGTTCGAGGGAATTTTGACCAACGTGCCGTAGAAACTGGAATGACAACGATTTTATCACCAATTTGCGAGTAGACAGGGGTACGTTTCTTCTTATTGTTGAAAGATTGACCCTTATATTCACCGAGAAACAAGAAGAATGAGGCAGTCCATTGATGTAGATGAAAGAGTTGCTATATATATATATATGGTGTTATGCCGATACGGAGAATGCACAGTGTTATGATATGTAAAACCTTCAGGAAATCAACATTTGCTTTTCTTCGACAAGTCCGTTCTTGAATGTCGATCAGCTGATCTCTCTTATGTAACTCTTAAAGGTTATGTAACCCTCGAATGTTATGTAACTTTCTGGACTGGTTATGTAATCGCTTCGTACATTTCAATCTAGTTCTCGAGTTACACAAGTGAACATTGAGATAAGTTAGTCGTGATGTTGTTGTTATATCGATAGCTCTAAAGGAAACCTGCCTCTCAAGTAATTAAAGTTTGTGTTCAAAGAAGCTTACTGGACTCGGACTCCCTATCTTGCTCTCTCGCGTCATAAAGGACAAAACTTGGTGTCAGGAGGTGAGTAACATCCATGAACTTTGTTGTTGCTAGTGGAAGTCTATTTTATTTTGGTCACGGCCTTGACCTCTGGTAG